AGCCCGAACCCGGCCCGATACTATTACATATATAAAAAAGAAAGTACTTATGTTATATATAATAAATATATATATATATATATATATATATATATGCTTCTTAAATTATTAATAAATATCAATTTACTATTAGGAAATATAAATTATTTTATTAATTTAATAAATTATTACTAAATCAATATAATATTAGTTTATAAAAGTATACTGAAAATAAGACATTTTGTGTACAGATTGGGCTTCGGGCTCGGGCTCGAGCTTCGGGCTTTATATAAGGGCTGGGCTTGGGCTCAAAATCTAGGCCCGATGGTTGGGCGAGGCTTGTGCTCAGGCTTGCACATTTTTTGTTGATAAAGAGGCCCATGTTAATTATAAAGCTATGATTTTTTACAAATTAAATTTTTTATTTAATTCTAGTATAGTATAAAAAATATATAACATTTCTATATATATTAATATAAAATTTGTTATTTAAATATTATATAATAATATTTAACATATATGCATATAACTTTCAAGTTGAGCTTATTAGGGGTTGTTTAGTTTGGGCCCTATCCACTAAAGCCATCATTGGATTCCAAAAGTTTGATACCCAATTAGACTTCGAATTTGATTATCCTTGATAATGTGTGGGCATGGTGCATATCTCAGCTTGACTTAACTCAAAAGAAAATAGTTGCTTGAGCCTGTAAATTTATAAATCTAATTGGGTTAGGTTAAGTTATAAACAATTTGTTACTTTTTATTATTAATTATTAAAATATTGTTAGCTATTAAAATATTGTAATTATTAAATTATTATATTTATTTACAATATAGTAATTTTTGGAAATTATCATATTCTCAAAAATATTGCTAATTTCTTGTATAAAACTAATTAAATGTAAATTTCTACTATTTATAGCTTAAATAAAAATTACTATTAATTAGATTTTTTAAAACAATTATTGTTAATTACATTACTATTAATAATAAAATACATTATTTTTTCATTATTATTTAGTATGTGTTGCAATAAAATACAATTAATTTAATTTTTTTAATTATTTTCAGTATTTTAATTAAGCTTTATGTTTTTCAGAATTTTTGGATTCTTAATTAATTTTTGATGTTTTTTTTATTATTATTCAGTAATTTTTGTATATGAGTATTTTTCAATAATTTTCAGTATTTTCATCATTTATTTTTGCATATTAGTCACTATAAAATTAATTTGCATTTTCTTTTAGTAAAAATACAACTAATTTTTAATATTTTTCAATAAATTCTGGCTTGGGTTTTTTTAATATTTTTTTGGTATTTTTAATAATAAAATACTATTAATTGTACTTTTTAATTATTTTTAATAAATACCCTTATTAATATAAAATATTGTTAATTTTCAATATTTTTTAATTATGTTTAGGTTTTTCAGATTTTTTTGGATTTTTATTAGCGTTTATTAAGGTCTCAACTCATAAGTTGTCTAATAGTATTATTAAACCTATCAATTAATACTTTTATATTTAAATTTATTATTTTTATTAGTGTTTATTAAGTTGGATTTTTAAGTGGAATTGAAACACATTTTTAATATTTACTAAGGCCCCATTTGKTCATGGGAATAGGGGTCTAGAATCAGAATCGGAATGGGCTATTCCGATTCCAACTGTTTGGTTGGATGGAATCGGAATCCCATTCCTATTTCTACTGGAATGGCATTCCCCCATTTGAGGGAATGACTCATTGATCCAACTACTGGCTGTTGGTGCTCTTCTAAGATTCAAGCTCTTTTTGATGCTAATACTATGGAAGCTATTCTTCGTACTCCCTTCTCATTGAATCCAGCTTTCGCTTGTGACAGATGGGTTTGGACACACTCTCCTAAAGGTTAGCTCACTTGTTCATCACCATACCGCTTTCTATGCAGAGATGAGGCGTGTTCCTCTAATAGTGGCTGGACTTTCCCCGATGTCTCTTGGAAAGAGTTTTGGAGCTGTAGTAAGTTACCTCCTCGAGTTCTCATTTTTCATTGGAGATGTTTGAACCATTGCTTACCAACCAGCGCTGTCATGGTTAGACATGCTCCTAAATTGGACGATATATGTTTTCTTCTATGTCCCGCCATGAGGCCGGTGTGGTTTGGTTCTGTTTTGGGCTCAAAAATGGACTTTGGGCAATTCAGGGAGTTGGGTGAGTGGTTGTCGATGCTATGGAAAAATAATGACAAATCCATATTCAGCTTTGGGGCCGTCTTAATGTGGAATGGTTGGAAGGCCAAATGTAAGTCCCTTATGTGTGGGGATCCTTTTATTCCTGAAAGTATTATCAATAGAGCTTCGGCCCAGTTCGTTGAAATTGCCAACCCAGAGGAAACTGAACATACAGTGACTACGGGTCCGGTCTCAAATCTACCCACCTCCTGGATGCCTCCTTCAACAACCCAGATTAAAATTAATTTTGACGGAGCATCCAATGACTTACAATCAGGCATTGGTGTTGTCTTTCGAAATCATAAAGGAGAGTTTTACTTGGGCCGGGTTGTTAACGTACCTCGTAATCACCCAGAAGTTCTGGAAGCTATGGCAGTTAGGGAGGGTTTATTGCTGGCTGTTAACGAAGGAATTAGGCTGATCTGGATTGAAGGAGATGCTCAACAAATTGTTAAGTTCCTGTTGGACCAATCTCTAGAGGTCCCTTGGAGGTTGCATCATGTTTTGGCTGATTGCAGGAAGTTGCGGCTTGAGTTTGATCAGTTCCATATCTCCTTTATTCATCCTACGGGTAATTCTGTTGCTCATTGTATGGCAAAACATGCTTGTACTATTTCTAGACCAAATACCTGGTATGTTTTTCCACCGTTTCTTTTACCTGTACTATTGAAAGATTTAACTCAATGAAATTGCCTTCGGGCTTATAAAAAAAGGGACAGTTTTTGCACAAGCTTTCTTTACAATCCGTTGATTATTCTTCCTAGAAACATGTATGATTCTTTTCCAAAAAGAACAAGAAAACAACTCTTCTGCATAAGGTGCTGTTTGATAACAGTTGAAGTGGATCAATTGAGCTGTTTATTGCTTTGTCTGTTATGACTGAAGCTGAAATTGGATTGATGATCAACATACCATCAAACATCTTAGGCCCCGTTTGGTTTGCAGGAATAGGAGTCTAGAATCGGAATTAGAATTCCATTCCTCTTCCTGTTAGAATGGCATTCCCCCATTTGAGGGAATGGCCATTCCCTGTCCCTTGGGAATGAAATCCCACTCATGCTGATTTCAATTTTCATTCCCATGCCCATCTGAACCAAACAGACTATAGGAATAGAGTCATAGACTATTTCAATTCCAATTCCCAAGGATTTTGATTTTGATTTCGAACCAAATGGACCCTTAGTTTTTTTTTAAGGCAAGAATTATATTTCATTCAAACTAAGAAACTTGTATGAATACAAGGAAGTAATCATAGTACCAAGCAAAAAATCGCAGATAGAAAACCTTAGAAAGAACAAAGTATAGACTATGGATAAAGGAGAACCAAAAAAGAACTGCAACCAACATAAGGTGAAACAGAATCACCAAGGTTCAGTTTGAAAAGAGTACAAATACAAATACATACAAAATAATACAAAATACAAGGTTTTACATTCTACAAATTTACATTTATACTCCTTCCAAATTGAACCCAATATAAAAACAATTAAGCGCATTTCCAACCATCGAAAATAATGAATAAAGATATCGACTCGCATCTCAAACGGACCCTTAGTTTCTTTAATAAAAGACAAAGCTATAAGACATTCAGTTCTACCACTTTCAGCAATTATCAAACTACTACCCTCTCTTAATGCAACTCTTTGACATGCTCACGTTACAGACAAGGTGTGACCCAAAAAAGCATTTCATCTTTGTTTTATACTATGTCTTTTCATGGGTCATATCGGTCCATTATGTTTTGAGGTAAAGTTTGTCAAGATTTGCATAAACTTATTTATTATAATTCCTAAAGAAATAGTTAAAGAATATGACAATCATCTGGTTAAAACCTATTTTCTTTTCTCTACTTTATCAGAAACAGGGGTCTGTCTATATAACCGCCCAGGGAAAACCAATGGCACCTTTGCATCTTTTTCTAACAAAAACCAGTAAGAAATAAAAATTATGGGCTTGACAAGACGGGCACAATTACAATGAGAGTGCCCTATCTATGAGGTGCAAATGTAAGCTGCACAATAGCACTTGTCCAGTTAGAATGGATCGGAACCTACCAGTCCAAAACCCAGCTAACTCCGTCCATTAGGCTCAGTTTGGAAGGAGTATAAATACAAATATATAGAGTGTAAAATCTTATAATTTGTATTATTTTGTATATATTTGCATTCTATATGTTTGTATTTATACTCCTTCCAAACTGAGCTTTATTATTTATTTGATTGTAAATTTGACTTCATTCAACTGTTTGATATTATTGAGATTGGTTTAGATGTTAATGGGATTCATTGCCCAAATAATATGTTTGTGAGATTTCATTTGAAAATTTGTGATTCCATCATCTATTCCTCCCCCCAAAAATTAGAATATCATCAAAATAATGTAAAATCAATAAAATAAATTAAATTAACAAAAAAATTGTCCAAAATACCAAAAATTTCAAACATTTCATCATAAAACAAGGCGGATGTTTGCCAATATGCATATGATTTTGTTGTTTATGGACAAAATCAATATACATATGATTTTGTTGTTTTCGAGCTCAAAAAGTAATTTACAAATAAAATGACTTGTTAAGACAGGGTTGAAGTTATTGGTAGCACATCACTATCCATATTTGATAATGGATTCATTTCATTTGTTGATACATGATGGATGGAAATGACAGGTAAAAGATGGCATCTCTCTCTCTCCATGAGGCTATGCAATGGGGTAGCCTTCCTCCGTATCTGTAACCCCTCCCCTCATTGAGATTATACATATAAGCCATCAAGACCTGCAGCCATGGGAGGGATCCCAACTTAAAAAAGTATTCATCATAAAACTTAGCATGGTTGAATGATTTTTAACATAATTTGCGCATTATTCTCAAAGCTTTCCAAGAGTTTCAGTACAACTACTCTCCTGCATCATACATATATGGAGCAAAAATGTACAACAAGGGCCAGAACCAATGGGCCCTCCAAAAATTTGCATCACTATATTACATCATATGTCCAAAAAACTACATTATGTAATGGCCCCCATATATACAGAGGAATTTTCACATAGTGGTCTCTATTGGGTCCTTTTAGTTTTCTTTTCTTGTTTCTTCTTATTATTTTCCTTTTTGTTTTGATTTTTTGTATTTGCTAGGCAAATTAGGCGGTTAGGGTGAGGAAGGTGAATTAGGATTCTATCCCAGGTGAGAATAACCTTATTGACTTTACCATATGCACGTCATCTTTAACAACTACAACAATAATAATGTTGTATGAGAATAACGACTTGGATCTCTCGCGGGCACTAGTATAATCTATAATGGTTGATATGTATCATGCCAATGGTTTTCTAATACGCCTTTTAAGGATTGTATCGATTCAGACATTGGTTCAGAGGGTAATCAGACCTTAAATCAATTCTTTTGAACCAGTTTAAAAAAATAAATAAATAAAACTTAAAAAAAGTACCAATATAAACCGATACACTAGATAGTTTGAACCTTTCATACAACTTTATCACATTTTTTTCATCTCCAACTTTACTATTCCAGGTGGAGGGGGGCCATGTAACCATTATCAAAAGGCAGAGAAAACACAGCCAGCATGGGAGGACATATCCCACCTTACCCCAAACCCATAGACACGCGCTCCCTTAAACACTCAACCCAGTTGGCAGGCTTGGAGGTAGACAAGCGACAGCTATACGGGAATACGCAATGCCCTTGGATTGTTGGACAGTGTTGAAGTGAGTTTATATGGCAGGAAACCCTGCTTCGTTATATGAATATCAGCGCATTTGATTCTTTCTCTTGGGCTGTGTTATTTGTACAAATTTCCTTTTCTTTTCCTAGCTACCTTTTCCTTTAAACCAAACACAGTCTTAAGGTGAGGGTGTGAAAAACCATTAACCTAGACGCGAGGAGAGATTGAATCCATCTCATAGAATAAGCGACCTCCCAAGGGGTGGTAATATTACCTACGTACCTTTCATGCATGATGTCAATGAGGACTTTGCTGTGACTTTTGACTTCCAAATCAAAGATACTACACATGATCATAGCAGCATCTAATAAGGCAATCTAAGAGAGAAAGAAATTCAGTTACCCGAATTTTCAAAGCGTGACAATCCAATACCTATTGTTAACCAGCCGTTAAGTGAAATTTGAAAAAGACACAAATGCCCTTCAAATGTTATATAAATTTCTTTATCAATCATCTAAACATTGACAAAAAATTAAGTCCTAAATCCTTGACTCTTCTATTCAAGAAAGTTGAGGTCACCAGAGTGCCCATTCAAATGTGACTCCAACTTTCATGAATAGAAGAAGTAAGGATTTGAGACTGTTAATTTTTTATCAATGTTTGAATGGTTGATAAACAAATTAAATGACAGTTGAAGGGCATCTGTGTCTTTTTTAATTGCCACCTAACGGTTAGTTAACAATAGGTACTAGATTGTCACATTTCAAAAGTTCAAATACTGAATTATCGTATTTTAAAGTTGGAGGACCAAAGTGACACTAGGTCCAAAGTACAAGATACTAATTGAGAATTTTCCTATTTTTTGTTCAAAATACACCAAATAATTCCAATAAGCAAATACAAATAAAAGGGTCGAGCTTTTCTTATGGGTTTATCAGGCTTTTTTAAATCAAATCCAAATTTCCTATCCACGACCATTCTACCCACATAATCCTCTTACACATTATTATGAACGCAGAGATGTTTCCAATGCACGAGATAGTGTAATGTGGGTAGTCATGAGTAGAATTCTTGTGGGTAGGAGATTCGGAATTAATTTATTGTGTTGGGGGTTCGCTGCTTTTTGGGGGGTTGGAATTAATCCAACCGGTTGACCCATCAACGCCCTTTGTACGAAGTAATATCCGAACCGGTGGCAATGTCTTTAGCTTCAATTAAAGCCTAGCATTTGGATAGAAGAGACAGAGAGACTCACGCCCGGCAAACTGACTGAATGATTTTCTTTTCTTTTTATCACCACCTTCATTTAATTAACATCCAAGAAAAGACTTGGGCCTTGAACAAGAGAGAAGTAGAATAAATAGGCATCATTATGCATCAGTTTACAGTAAATTTGTATGGGAGTAATAATGACACCCAACACGCACACTCTGTGTTTTAAACTTTCATTTCATGGGTGAAGGGAGTACGTTCTTTTCTTTTCTTGAAACAGAATGAAAAAGGGAATGAGGTTGTTAGACTTAGACATGCCTCCATGATGATAAAAGGGTGTAAAGAAGCATTCATCATGCCATCAGATCAGGGAGATATAATTTTGGGTTGTGGTGGTGCATAGCTTGATCCATTTTCATGTGCCTTTTGCTTCTAAATTGTTTCGTTTAGGGGTGGATTTGAGTCGAGTTGAGCTGAGCCGAATAGCTAGTTATTCGAGTTTGGCTTGTCAAGGTAGTACGGGGCTCGAGTTAGAACTTTGAGCTTGAACTCGGTTTGAGTCAAAAGCTAGTAAGTTGGAGTTTGATTTGAGAAAAATATTTTATAAAAATAAAAAAATTAAGAATTATAATAATTAGTTATTATAAAAATAAAAATATTATATCTATATTATTATTATTATTAAGATAAATCTCTTAAATTACCACTACTGTTTGTGAAATTAACTAAATATACCCTTACTGTTTCATTATTGTCTATTCTATTGGTACCCCTACTGTTTCTAACAATTGACTA